ATATTTTCTAGGGATAGCTTTAATCTTAAACTTCAAATGTAATAATTGCAAGGGAGTTTAAACCTAATTTTTAAATGATATATTTGCAAGGATAGCTTTAACCTAAATTTTAAATGTAATATAAACAAGGAAAGCTTCAACCTAAACTTTAAATGTAATATATGTAAGGAATAGCTTTAACATGAACTGTAAATGTAATATTTGCACAAAAAAGCTTAATCGAAACTTCAATATTATATTTGAAAGGGAAAGCTTCAACCTAAACTTCAAATGTAATATTTTCAAGGGATAACTTTAACCTAAACTTCAAATGTAACATTTGCAAGGAAGAGCTATAACCTAAACTATAAATGTTATATGCAAGGAATAGCTTTAACCCAATCCATAATCTATGCAAGGAATAGCTTACCTAAATTGTAAATGTTATATTTGCAAGGAAAAGCTTCAATTTTACATTTACAGGGTTGCAACATTCTAAAGTACTGAAGCAAAAAGGATGGGGACAAACAAAGTAGAATTAACTCGTCAGCAAGGTTTATTTTCCTTCATTGCAAAAATCTAAATCTCTCTGTGACAACGAACAAACTAAAAAAATACAAACTATAACACCATCATTTGAAAGCTTTTGATGTTACTAAAGTGCAACTTTTATAAAGCAGACAATTCATGACCACAAGTTCAATCTAACTAAGAACAATTTGCACTAATAGGGGGGAACGGTCAATTCTCGAAAACTTTCATGTTTTCATTGTATTTAACATTCTCACCATTAAAAGATTTTTTTAAATTTCCTTTTCAGAATTAAAATTTAATGGACTAATAAGTATTAACACCAGTATCAATTTTTTTACTCTGCTTAACAGACCACATGAATATGAACTTGTGCTGCTATCTACTGTAATTTTAAGACATGTCAATATAACATTAAAACATAATATTTAGTAAATGCAGCCAAAAGGTAGAATTTTATCAAAATGCAAAAATATGCAACTTAAACCTAACAGATGGTCTTTGGAACAGAGATTATTATTATTGTCACCAGGACAACCTGCATGTCAATGTTGTTTGACCAAGGCTCTATATATACAATCATGTTTTTTAGGCTGACTTAACCATTACTTAAAATTTTCATCTTGATTTCCCCAAAATTGAAATTGACTGTTCTAAAAAGTGTTGCTTGACAAGTCCATTTAAGAAATTCTGTAGGTTAACAGGTTATGCTTATGGAATAGGCCAATAATTGTCTACCTATAATGCTCTATAGATTTAACAACCGACTTGACCAGTTTTTCTAGACAAAAGCACTAGTTTTACCTATAAAAATCTTCATCATTTTAATCAAACTACTAGGACATAATTATGATCTTAGATAAAATGTTTACATACTAACCAGTTAATAGGACAATGACCTCAGTCATGACCCCCACGATCAGACGACTCAACAGTGTTAATTATCAGTATGTGGTGAAACTACACTAGATAAATTCAATTAAGTTTATAATGGTAAATTACCACACTATTCCAACACAGTATAAATTGCTAATCCATCTTAAGAAAACTCCTTAAAATAACTGTCACACAGAAACATGCTTTTATTACATTGAAAAACAGATCGAAGTTCACACTTGAAATTGTAATGCACAAGAACTGTTATCATTTGTTTATTGCTAATTGAGACGATTAGTCATGGAGAAAAACAAGGAATAACAAACATAATGCATACAATTTCAATCAATATTAACCCATAACCTGCTAAATATCTTAAATGGACTAGTCCATCCTTCATTCTGGACACATCCATTTATCATTTATAGGGTATAAATTTTAAAAATATGTACTGACTGAATATCGAACAGGGCAGACCAGGATGTGCCGGCTGATCTTGGTCTGCAATGTTTGTACAGGTAGAATCAGCGGTCATTAGCAGGCTAAAGGGTTTATCAATTGTAAAGAACGCTGCCATTCCATTACAGAAAATGTTAGCAAGTTTATTATCACACTAGAGAACTACTTAGTAATATATAACAAGGAAATTAAAGAAGTATACATATATATATATACAATTAATCATTATAGATATTATATAAAGTCATTGAAAATCTCATACAGCAGAAAGTATACAGTGTTCAATCTGTGAATTTTTCTACTTAACTGGGAATCATATCATGCCTTTTTCTTCTTTTATTTCCTGTTCTTGTTTGTTTGATTTTTTTTTTTGTAAAATTAAAAACACAATTTTTTTTGGATTTTGAAAGGGCTGCACAGCAAGCCTCTGTAAATTGAGGTAAAGATGTACAAGTTTTTTTCTTTATTAGACATTCTGAAAATTCATTTAACAGAAAAAACTATGAATATTAATAAAATGTACTGGTATTAAATAATAGGAAATAACAAAACTTACTTTTTAAGTTAGAAATTTCTTTTAAAGGGAATGTCAAGGAAATCTGCTCTTAATATTCTAATACACCAATACGGTAGTTAAATTATTTCCAAAATGACTTTCAACGATACATCTATCATTGTATACAAATATTTAAAATAAATAATAAAATACCAAATAATTTTCACAAAATGTTTTCTTTGCATGCAAACTTAAAGCATTAATAAAAGGTATGGCAAAATAAAACCAAAACGGGTGCCTAAAATAATTTTAGTTATTCTAACCCCTTATTAATGACGATTAATCAAAACTGTTAGAATACAAAACCGCACTGATTTAACTGTATGCATTTTAATTAAAAAAAGTGCAAAATAACAATACATCAACACGTTTAAAAGGTAGAACTACCATTACACAATCAATCCAAAGCAACTCATACTTCTACATTACTGGCCAATTAAATCATTTTTCTAGTAAGGATTTGTCAATTAATGCTAATTAGTAAAATCTTCTTGATCATAAATATTTTATCCTTATCTTTTATCCATTCAGACAATCTAGTTTAATTAAGTAGACAAAACTCGAAGAAAACAAAGAAGACTTTCTGTTTCAATTACGTACCTATTTCGGTCAATAAAATACACAATATAATTGAAACATCAACACTTACTTTTAATAATATCTTTTCTTATGTAAACTTCTGGAGATACGAGTTTGTAATACTTTTTTAAAAATATAATCGCAGGAAATTTTTGAGTTCGACATAAAATCAGACTTGCGCAAAAAGTGCAGAAACAAATGAACTGATTGCATTTAAATAAAAACTATAATTTATGAAATTTCTGAAGAAACTTTTAGTTTTCTATGTGCTACACACAAGCAAACTCAATGTGCTACAAAATATGACAACAAAAATTCTATTCACCTGATTCAGAGTCCAACTTTTATCTTGAAATTTAGCTTCACAAAACAGTCCTCATAAGACGACGTATTTCTTCTTTTAAACACAACACGATTTTGTTCAACAGATGAACCGCATTGACAATACCATAAGGTAAATAAACGACCCATAGAGCGAATAATGCTTTTCAAACAATTATAAAATTTTAAATAATCTAAAGGGAAACTATTTGTATGGACTATGAAAAATAAGCAGAACCAAACTAAATAACAAAATAAAATGTTTTCTTTTTACAGAAAGTAAGAACTTATGAACATATTATCACAAATAAGGCTACTTTGAAATAAAGATGGTATGAAAATGAAATAAATACAAAAATGAGGACATAAATTGATTTCATGTGTTGTTGACACAAATATGTAAAATTAATCATGAAAAAAAAAATTGTTGAAACTTTGTCCAATCCACAGAAGGAAGTGTTTAAAGGAAATTATTTTTACCAAGTTAATCCCAATATATTGTAATTCAATGTAGGAAATGTCCACTGTAAAGATTCCTTGTCTCTTATTTAGCATTAAAACTAACTTTTTTGTTGAAATACAAAATTTCATTATTCAAAACTTTTATGTTCATTTATACAATTTCAATCTTTAAAATATCGTAAATAATCCAAACCTTATTTGTAAAAACTTTTGTTTAAAATCTGGAAAAAGGGGAGCTCAAACTTTGTAATAATCATAATATAACATAGATTAATTCTACATACTAAATAGTTTTATCCTTTTTGATGAAAACATTGTTTATATTGAGAAACTCCATAAGGCTTAGATTTATACAGAACAATTCTTTTTGATCTCAATAATGGACATTTCATTACATTGGACTACTTTTTTTTGTCACAGGATGTTCTATATTTAGAAAGAATGGTAAAATGCCCCATCCTTTGCATACAAATGGTAAAGCTGGTATTTTAGATGGTTGAATGTACATTTATAGAAGCATTAGATGGTATGTTGATAGCTGGTCAGAGTTACACACAGAGATATTATCATTATCACATTATGCAAATAAAGGTCAGAATATGCAAATTTTGCCCATTATGCAAATGAGCTCCAAAACAATTATGCTTCTGAAAGGGCAAAAACTGAAGAAGGAAATAAAAATAAAGGTGAATTCATGCAGACGGTGATGAAATATACATAAAGCAGCCATTCCAAAATCCACGTTTTATCAGCTGAAGATTTACAACAAAACAAATTTCTGGAAAGGCGTTGCTTTAAAAGTATGATTATACGCCTATGTAATCCACTCACTTTATTCTTAACAATGTAAATAAGGGCGCATTTTGATGAGCATCTTAAATATTCTATTTTTTTCAATAAAGTTTGTCAATTGGCAGATATATGTAAAAGAAGTATATCAATAACACTTTCAATTAAAGAGTTTCAATACAGTATTGCATTAAGTAATTATCTCCCTTATTTGACTTGCAGCCATTTTCATATCTCACGTTGTGTATAAACAAAATGCTACATCAGTTTAAATGAAATAATTCACCCTTTAGACTCATATAATTTGGCTAAATGAAATGAAAAACACATCCTGGGGAAAAAACTGAAAATGAACATCCCAATAAAAAATAAATAATGAATACATATGGTAAAATGATAACCAAGTGTTAATTCTACAATAAAATGTTATTTTTACAGACAGCCTTACCTCATCAGTATCTTTAACGCGGAGAATCTGTTCCCGTAAATCTTGCAAGTCGTTGAATGTTGACTGAGCTGTTATAGAATACACCAGCAAAAATCCTTGACCATTCTTCATATATAAATCTCTCATGGCAGTAAATTGTTCCTATAAAACAGTTCATTTACTTTACATTAGCAATAAACATGGTTTCTTGAATGTTTTGTTCTAATTTTCAAATTTAAATGGAGAAACACCCTATACTACTCAGTGACAGCAAAATCAATTGTCAATATAGCCAGGTTGATCCACAGCTTGTTTGGAAAACCTGAGCACAATTTACTATTTAAATATCATACCAACAAGTTAAAGAAAGGGGTAGAACCAAAACTCAATAAGCAAGACGAATAGCTTTCACATTGAAAAGTATTCAACCACCCATGTATGTTTTAAAGCCAAAGTAACTAAAACAAGCAATTATCATAGTATTGCAAGCAATCCATAAGTCCCCTACCGGTAAGAGCCCAAGCAACATTCTGAAGGGCCATTTGCCATTCACTTATGTTCCTATTTTAAGTAAATTTGTTGAAAAAGTTCTTTAAAAGTGATCACAGGAAACAGTTTTTATGTACAGACAGACGGACTGAAGGACACTCTAAAGTTATTTTTTAAACATCCCTGTTATCAAAATATATCATTTTTAAAATCCTATCATGATTGAAGAAGTTGGAGTAAAAATTACCAATTTCTCAAAAAAAAAATCTAAGTTCAAAAGGGGCATAATTCTGGAAATAGTCTTGCTAGAGTACTGGACCATCACAAATGTTGAGTGATAATAAGAAACATTTATATGAAGTTTGAAGTAGATACATTCAGAAAAAGAAGTTATTAAAAAAAAAAAAACAATGTTTTTTCATGAAAATTTTAAGTTCAAGGGAGGTAATTCTGATAAATTTTGTGCTAGAGTTGTAAACCTTGTCACATATGATGTGGTTGATTACAAGCAACTTATATTTAAAGTTTGAAGAAAATACCTTAAGAAATAAAGAACTTATAGTGAAAAAACTTAAAAACTAGAATCAGAAATCTTGAAATTCAGTCTATTTGTTGCCATAGCAACCAGAATTTTCAACATAAGAAGATAAGAAAAGGATGTGCATAATTTCCATACTGCCATATACCCATATGTCAAGTTTCATAAACATATTTTCAGTACTTTTAGTGTTATCACTGGATCCAGGTTATGTGTAAAATTTGCCATATTTTCAGTCTATTTGTTGCCATAGCAACCAGAATTTTCAACATAGGAAGAAAAGAAAAAGACGTGCATAATCTCCATACTGCCATCTATCCATATATCAAGTTTCATTAAAATATTTTCAGTAGTTTTTGTGTTATCGCGGGATCCAGTTTTGTGGACGGACGGACTGACGGACGGACAGACGGACTGACGGACGGACAGACGGACGGAGGGTAAACCTAAAGTCCCCTCCGGTAAACCGGTAGGGGACTAAAAAAACCTTATAGTTAACTCTAAATCAATCATCAAAAGCTCAAAATCATGGAAGGGCGACTGTAACTGACTCCTCAGCTGTCAATAACCATCTTACTTTACAAAAGCAAATATTGCATAAAATTTCATAACCTAGGTGTGATTACAGCATCATTTGCTACATGTAATAACTAAGTTATCTGCTTAAAAGTTTAGAGAATCAACAAATATTTTTTTCATGTATACATGTAATTACAAAGACAATAATAATGACTTATTCTTTCTTAAGTTATTGATCCGACAAGAATTTTACATTTTGTTGACCTTTCACCTAAATATCAATAGCGGTCTTCTACCGACCATGGGCAATGTCCCTACCAAGTTACATACACGATGGTTTACATCTTCTCAAGTTAACGATCAGACAAGGATAACAGGATGTATAGACCACCCCACACACAATATGAATTATGATGCCCACTTTTATTAAGTTTATAAGTAGGGCAATAAGGAACACTTACTGTTCCAGCTGTATCTAGGATTTCTAACATACATTGCTGTCCGTCTACCTCCACTTGCTGAAATACAAATAAGTAAATCCAATTAACATGATAGAATACACAACACCCAATTTTGAATTTACCCCAAATAATCATTTGTGCATGTAATGAACTTGCCCTCCTTAGAACTCAGAACTTTACATATCTAAATGCGCTTCTTAATAGGATTAAAATGATTAAAATAATAAAACTGACCAATCAACAATACAATCTGCTCTGACCGTAGAGATATGCAGGCTTACCTCACTCTATAGTAGTAATATTGGTCTACCATTTTCCCCTTACATTTTATCATTAAAAACTTACATCACTGTTTTCTGAACTTAAACAACCATACAAAAGTTACATGGTTACTCTGTAAACTAATGACTAACTCTTCTAAAACTCACAATGATGTGAATTTCATGTAATAAATTATGTATTGTAATGTTCATATAAAGACTATGTACTGTAACGCTGAGCCGTAAAGTAAATACAACAAATGACCCATTTATGCAACATGAACTTTTAAGACAATTACCATCTCTTTCATTATGGTTTGGCAAAAAGTCATATTAAATTATATACTTATAAGCAATTAAAACTCAATAGTCACCGAGGACAGTGTGACTTTTGTCATTCTTTTATATTCATAAAATAACATATATGTATATACATAATTTAGTTATCATGTACATTTTCCTTATTTAATTTATTCACTGATGGTATTCACATTGATATATCAGGTAAAATGTAATGAGTTTATACACACAGAAAACAGCTTGACAAGATATCGACACTGTATTGACAATGTATTTGCCCACCTGTTACAAAATTATCACATATTGTTCATACAAACAGGTGTCTTTTCATCAAATTTAAATTGAGCAGGTCCTCTGAATTAGAGTTAAGGAAAATTACCTTTCTGTAGCTGTCTTCAATTGTTGGATCATATTTTTCTACAAAAATACCCTGAACAAACTGTACCGTCTGAAAAATGGGAAATACATGTACAATATTATGATAATAGTCTGTTTATCAGTAAACAATGATGCAAAATATTTCGCTATGTCACCTTTGTTGTTTCTATAGTTGCTTGAGCTAATTAATGTTAATTTAATCTAATATACCACAGTAACCAGAACATAAAAGCATGTAGACTATGTACATATTTGGCTCTGTACAGTTTCAGAATGATGTAACATTAAGCTTTGAGACAAGAGTACAGGGTTGGCTGGCATTTCCTGGGAAAGAGTACAATACAAAGGTGAATAGAAACATGACATAATAATAAAAGACTGAATAACTTACCAATGCTGACTTTCCAACACCACCACTGCCAAGAACCACTAATTTGTACTCTCTCATATTTTTAAATGGCTAAAGAGCCTGAAAAAAAGACATATCAAATTAACGCTTTGCAACATTCAAACAAATGCTGTGATTTTATATTGGGTTTTATATTGCTACAACACAGTATAGGTCATAATGATTTTGCTTTATCAAAATTAAAAAGGTTATTTCAATTATTTAATTTTTTTTTAAAGTCTGCATTTCAAAATGGTGTCATATAAGGAAACTTGGTTAAAGACAAAGAACAAATTGGAACTCTGGATCTCTTTGTTGCATGACAGATACTTTTAAAAGTAGATCAATCTTTGGATTTGTTAAATTAAAAAGAAATTTGCAAAAGCAAGATAATAAGAATTTTTATGATCTAACCAAGTCATTTTGGAATCCTTGCTTTTTTACCCCAAGAGGAATACAAGGCTTGTTTAATATTATATACATGTATGTAACTTCTTTTATACACCCAGCATTGCTGCAACATGTTATGGTAAACTTTCCAGCAATAAACCTACAATTAAGGTCAACACAGTGATACAGCTCATACCCTGTCAAGGATTCAAGATATTGTTGAATTTGAAAGTGTAAACTAAACAAGTGTTTATTTAAAGATTTCTTTTTTAATAGGAGTCATAAAATAATGAATATTTCTCATTGTTTTTTAAGTGTGTGCTGGGGTGGGGGGGGGGCTAAGTCAAATCAACTCAATACCCTAACCACTTATAAAGCCATTTTTTTCATCTTTTGGAGGCCGGGAAAAAAAAGTTTTCATATCTTAATGTCTGGAAGTGAGATACTTTGTGAGCATATCTCTTCTCTTATGATTAGTCCATCCAGATTCTGATAAATGTGGTGTTTAGGCCACTCAAAAAACAAAAATAAAATCAGAAGGAAAATCACACATTAAATACTAGCAAGTAAAGTGTGATTTCGTAAAGATTGATCATACATGAGGGCATTCTGTGCATAAAATAAGGATATTAGTATTTACATAAATAGCAACCAACCATGGAAGGAATTTTCCTTACAACAAGCAGTTACTGCATACACACAGCAATTAACTAATTATAGAACATATATCAAATTGAGGCATGGAAACTGGATTATAAATAATGTTTTGTTCATTTATGAATATTTCAAAAGAATTTATATGGTCATTAGTTTACCATGTGGTAGTTTTAATGTGCTTTGGGGTAAATGTTTGTTTTTGTTTATGACTGCAGACACAGATTAATTACTTAGCCCGCCCCCCCCCCATAAAATTTTTCTGGTAGCAGTGGGGATTCTGTCATAAAATTAACTGACAAATAAATATTTGGAAGCTTTGGTCCTTTAATGTGCATTATTGTTTTGATTGCAGACACAACATGGTGTCAAGTACAGCACAATCTTCAAGATATATCGCAACAATTGTCTTTGAAATACCGCCATAATCATTGTTGTATTAAAATTAAATATAACTTTCCCAGACTGTTCGGGAATATTTACTCAGAATTAGTTTATCAGATCCGTAATTTGACCATTTGAAGATATGTCTACAAGTCATTTTATTTTTTATTTCATGTTATGATTACTTGTGAATATGTCTTTGTTTTTGACTGTCTAATACATGTCAGTTTCGTTGTTTGTTGCCGATGATGATGTCCAAATTTTCACGATTAATCTGCTTCAACCAAGTGTATAACGGTATATATACCTAATTTCTGTGAAAATGATACATCATCAAAAAAAGCCTACCTACCAACCCACTCCTTGTAACTCTGGGTGGGCAATAGCAAACATATATATATTTCTAAAGGTGGCCTTACTAGAGAAATGAAATGACCGATTATCTAAATTCCACAGTGCTAATAAATACACAAAACATCATTCACATGTGTGTAAACAAAATGGCATCCAAAAATTAATAAAATATCATGTTGCCATTATCTAACAACACACATGAAATCTACACACGAGATGACTTCGCAGACCCTTCAAAAGAATCGGTCAATCTTTGATGTCCACACACATGTAGTACCTGCTGTTAAATCCGAAATCATCAAAAGTACTAAAACTCAACTGACTTGCACTCACTTATTTATAAATCAGTGGTTAAGAAACTGTAACAAAATCGTTACTGATACTTAGGAGAAGTTAGTGAAATTGGTCTCGAGATTTACTGTTGCAGCAGCCCAGTAATTAACTTAAATTAGAATTTTCTAGGATTAATGTAAACAATAATCCTTAGTTTTCATGCTGGGCGTCATTCACATGTTAAATCCTTATTATTCATTTGGGTCAATCCTCATAAATGAACCCCACCCACTTTCTTGACCTATTCAAATAACTAAATTCCAACAGATTTAACCAATTTTCACAGCAGCATTTGCCATTTTGATTAGGTAATAATGGAAAATCAAACATAAGCTTATGATGTGAACAAAAATCGACGGTAAATACCCACCTTAAATAACGTTAAAACAAGACCTGTCAAAATTTATCACTCACTTCCCAGTCAGTCGGTTCAATTTGTAATGGCTTCTAATTCTAGTGACGTCACTTCCAATTAAGTGTTACTAAATTTGGAAAATTTGACGGGCGCACCTGTTATGTTCGGAACGCTTTTGCTTTCAACGAACTAGGTCAGCTTGGTTATTATGAAATGCGATATAAATGCTCAGAATATGTTCTTTGAATTTAGTTTATTAAACAATTATATCATTTGAAATTACCAGTATCGGCTAATAAGAATAAAGTTGTACATTAATTGTGTTGATATTTGAAAAACATGCACATTTGAATAATATTCGAATTAATAGTGTAAATGTTTAGTTCGTTTCAAAAGCTAAATAATTTTACTGTTGGATAATTTTTGTGTATTATAAAATGTAAGAGCTGTGTAAAATGTATTAATATATACCGTCTCGCTCTCGAATCTTCAGAAAAAAATTAATTTAATGTCAGTTTTAAAGAAAACATAATATATCACCATAATATCATTGGTTACCAACAGAGGACCAATAAAAGAAAAGATATATTTTATTCTCACAACTAATTATTTAACTCAGGATTGGTGGATATTTACGTAATTTTGAGCAATGTGTTGAAATTTTCAACGTCTTTGATTATTTTCACCATGATGCAAGAGCTGTTTTATTTTGCTTAAACAATGTCAATTAAAATCGGGGTGAATTTGACATAATTAAAAGATGAAAGTAAAAATACTTACGCATACGTTGTTCACTTTTTTTCTAGATTTCTAGCCATTTTATCATCAGAGCATAACATTTTCACCAAACCCTGATGATCTGGATACCAACCGTAACAATATAATTTCAATAAAAACATTCATCAGTTCCATGCCAATAAAACTTTGACGGAAAAGGCCGAGAAAATGCGATCGGTTCCACACGGGGAGTATCATTCATAATTTAGCGCAAGGAAAGAGTTGTAAACTAAAACAACAACAACAACAACAACAACAACAAATACTTAAATTAATGTCAGATTACACACATGTAATAACATGAATCATTTTGTTTCCTGTTGACGTATGTGTATATAGATGCACACAGGCCATAATTCACCATGTAAACATTACCTTTGAAACGTAAAATGATTCGCATTGAATTCCGGAAGTAGGAGCCTTTGGTATATGCGTTAGAAGCAGAAACATTATCTTGCTCCAATTTTCTTTAATACCGGTAACGAAGAGTTGATTTTTCAAGTATAAGATTATGTTGAAAAGCATACAATTTATTAAAAACGTAACACTACTTTTCATTTTAAACTACATTTCTAAATGACTTGAATTGGCCCCAGGACCGGATCCAGAAATTTTTCATTTCATATTTTGAAACATTTCAAGAGAATTTGTTTTTACGGGTTTATTTAAAATAATTCTGGCGGTTCTTTTTTTCCGCAATTTCTTTAGATTTTTATCAATATCTAAGATCGAGCCATTTTTGGTGCTTGAACATAGCGCTTTTATATTTCTTAAAGATAGTTAATAAATATGATTAAATAAAAAAAAAATAAAAGATATACTAGATTTCTGCGTCCACTTGTTTTATAATTATATAGCCAAAGTGATTTAAGCTCAACCTTGAGAAACTGCTTATAAACAGAGGAAAATGATATTTGCAGTGAAGTTTTAATTTATTTTGCAATGTTAGTAAAAATTGGTTTATGGTTTATGCCATATTTTCTTCTTATACTATATGGTCAGCAGACTTAACGTACGATGCTTTAGGTACACATGTATATTAGAATCTGCTGACCAGTTAACCCATTCCCGCATAAGTATTTTGTGAAAAATGGCTGTTTTCATTGAAAACCCCCCTGTTACATAAGAAGGCGATAGTCGACAATGCGATAACGCGATGACGACAGTGCGACAATGCGATAGCGACAGTGCGATAATGCGATGACGACAGTACGACGACGACAATGCGACAGTGCGATAACACTATCGCTCTGTCGTCATCGTACTACCGCGTTATCGCATTGTCGCCATCGCACTGTCGCATTAATTGTCGTCATCGCACTGTCGCATTGTCGTCAACGCACTGTCAGTAGTGTCATTCGGAGAGCGAGAGGGAGTTGTGAGCAGGAGCAGTTTAGGTTTGGGGATTATGACGTAATGTTAATCTTTTGAAGTGGTCTTCGAGTGTACTTGAGAGGTAGAATATCCTTTTGAAGTGGTCTGCCAATGTACTTGAAAGGTATAATATCCTTTTGAAGTGGTTTTCAATGGCACTTGAAAGGCAAAGTGTCTTTTTAAGATGTTTAATTAAAAATAAAGATGGCGGATATTTGCATAATTAAAAATAAAGATGGCCGCTAGTTCCGTAGTGAAAAACAAAGATGGCGGATAGTTTACCTGGCAACCAATGGGAGAGTGATGCATGAATGAGTGATTATAGGCAGTATGTGTGTGTATT